TACAAAGTGCACCCCTTAACCCTGCAGTCTGTACATAGTGCCCCTTCAACCCTACACTATTTATGTACCTTGGCAGCCCATCCTCGGAGATGCTGCTCACATTGGCCTCTGTTCCTACCTGCACTCAGTCAACCTTCATAGTTGTGTATTCTCTGCTATGCTCATTGCTAATAACAACTTTTAGAATTTTCTGTCTATTGGTGGGTCTTGTCCCCTCTGCAGTCTGTGGTGTGCAGAAAGGGAGAATATTGTGTGCTGTAACCTCTAGCAACCAATCAGTGAGCTGTAATGATGTGCAGTAACCTCTAGAAACCAATTAATGAGCAGTAATGATGTGTAGTAACCTCTAGCAACCAATCAGTGAGTGGTAATGATGTGCAGAACCAATGGGTGAGCGGTAAAGATATGCAGTACCGTCTAGCAATTAATCAGTGAGCAGAAATGACGTGCAGTAACCTCTAACAACCAATCAGCAAGCAGAAATTATGTGTTGTAAGCTCTAGCAATTGATCAGTGAGCTGTAATGCGTGCTGTAACCTCTAGGAATCAGTGAGTTGTAATGAAATGCTGTAACATCTGGCAATCAATTGCTGCCAAATCTGTTGCAGTAAACTGATTTTGAGTCTATCTGCTATTTATTGTATGTCTCAGAGTTGGGGATGGCTAGGGGGCCCCCAAAAAAGTGTTTGCCCAGGGTCCAATCAATATTAAAGGTGGCCCTGCTTTAACTGTATCTAAACCCAAAAGCAAAGATCGTGTATATTGCAGCTTACTAGACCTTAAATGTGGCTTCAACATTAGTATTGTTTTTCAGAATTTTTCCCTTTTATTTTGACCTGGTAATCCCGTCAGTAACAAGCTTCCTGTCCTAGGGTGATTATGCTCATTCAATGTACTGTATCTATGCTGGAGAACATTGTCACCATAGTACTGGATGTGTGTTAGAATTACAGAGGTGTTCTGTAATTCACAGAGAAAAATGCTAAATGATATAGACCTGGTGAACAAACAACCAGACAGATGCCTAATAGCATGCAGTTTCTTCAGAAGACCCAGCTACTGTTGGGAGTACATCCACAAATGTTACCAGAGTACTTAATACCAAGTAGGGTGGCCCTTTTTTCCTTGGATCACTCCAGCTGTTCACCTGTGTTACCAGAGCTGCCCTGGACTTTACTGAGAGGGATTCTGTTTATGAGGAGAATCACAAGCAGCTGTTATGATCAGAACTGTTTTAGCGATTCTCAGACACTATTGTTATAGAATCTTATAGATACCATGCTATGATACCAAATATTACCCTGACGAAGTCAGTGACATTGCTGGAAGGAGTCCATGTTTGCGTATATTTAATAACCACTTTGGTATTATTCTGCAGTGTATGCTTGCTCTTTGCTATCCTAAACCTGTTTGCATTATTGCTTCTAACTTTGCACCTGTTTTGTAAGCTGCATATTACCATTACTCCCTATCTGATTACATATTCTGGTTACGTCCTGTTGACGTCCTGTCAAAACAAGCCGCTCACATGGCCGTGGGGCCGCACAGCGGTGCGATCTGTCACCGGCTGTGTCCACGGGACACAGCCAATGACATACCACTACACCAGCCCGTTGCAAATGTCATATGACCACTGTGAACAATCACAACAGATCACATGCCAATTGTATACAATGGATGGCTTCCTGACATGCCATCCATTGTATACAATTATGTTGTTAGCTGTGACTGGTCAAGGCAGTCACATGATACAGACAGGGCCAATCACAGCACATCTGTATCATGTGATCAGCTTTGCCCAATCACAGCTAATCACAACAAAAGATTGAATGAATCAGTTTCATTCAGTAACAATGATTGCAAATATCAGTGAAATACATTGGTATTAGCAATCAGAGTGTGTTTAAAAAAAAAAATCCTGATCACTTGCCCAGAGTAGTTCAATGTTACTATGGTAACATTGTATTGCTTTGGTCACAGTGTGCTGAAATAAAATGTAATAAAAAATTAGAAACATTTGAAAAAAAAATACAAATTCAATTATTATTTTCATGAAAGAAATGTAGCAGAATAAATTTTGACCTAAATTTATGAAGAAATGTTGTTTATTTGCAAAATTTTATAACAGAAATTAAGAAAAGTGCGTTTTTTTTTCAAAAGTTTTAAATGTTTTTTGTTTTATTTAGCAAAAAATAAAAACTCAGTGGTGATTAAATACCACCAAAAGAAAGCTCTATTTGTGTGAAAAAAATGATAAAAATTTCATATGGGTACAGTGTTGCCTGACCGCAATTGTCATTCAAACTGCGACAGCGCTGAAGCTGAAAATTGGCCTGGGCAGGAAGGGGGTATAAGTGCCCTGTATTGAAGTGGTTAAAGTAACATTTAGCACAGGCAGAATGCACAGGAAGTTATCATCCCACATGATATCTGTCAGGATGGATCAATGGGTATTTTTTCACTTATCAAAGAGATATAATAAACTACATTTAATGGTATACATAAAAGACAAATGGGAAGCAAATAAAAGACCTTAATGGTTTACTTATACCTTGAGCATATTTGCACTGTTTTCTGTTTAGCCTTAATTTGATGATTAGTTTATCTTGCTATCTGGAATTGCTTTTAAGGCACTACCAAGATGAAATCCCACAAATTTATAGCATGCCCACCCCTATTGGTTTATTTGAATGGTGGTTGTGTTGGTGAGGAAGGGGGTGGCAGAACAAAAATTAATCAATATCTTAAAGAGACCCTGTTGCCAAACTCTTTATTTAAATTACAATTTTCCCACAATATACTGTATGTGCACTTAATGTATTTAAGGCATGTTATTTACAGGTAAAATCCTCCCTTTTGTAGACATGTAAAATCCCTAAGACTGCTGCTGAGTGGTGGCATCATGTGAAGGCGGTAGCTGCAGCAAACTCAGAGCTGTCATTCAAGTGACAATCTACAGTACTCACCTTCCTTCCTTCTCTAGCTCCTATATAAAAGCATATGTAGGGAGGTGAAGGTGAGGGGCAATAATGTTGGGCCAGCACAGACACTAATTAGACAATCCCAGAAGAGGGAAAATATATGGCAGGGAGGGAGGGGACTATGTAGAGCGATTCGGAATCAGCCAATCGGTGGCTATAATATTATATTTGGCTTTCCAACTGCTGCTAGCTGCACAGCTCAGAGGTGTGGTAATAAAATATATCATTAACCACTTGCCCGCCAGAGTATTTACCCCCCTTCCTGACCTGGCCAATTTGTGCGATACAGCGCTGCGTTACTTTAACTGACAATTGCGCGGTCATGCAACACAGCACCCAAGTGAAACTTATGTCCTTTTTTTCCCACAAATGGAGCTTTCTTTCAGTGGTATTTGATCCCCTCTGCATTTTTATTTCTTGCGCTATAAACAAAAAAAAACTATATTTTTGACTTTTTGCTATTAAACATGTCCAGAAACATTTTTAAAAAAATCAAATTTCATCATAAATTTAGGCCAAAATGTATTCTGCTACGTCTTTGCTAAAAAAAAAATCCCAATACATGTAAATTAATTGGTTTATGTGAAAGTTATAGCGTTTACAAATGGCGGTGTATATATACTGGATTTTTTTTTTTTTTACTAGTAACGGCGGCAATCAGCGACTTAGAGTGGGACTGCGGCAGGCATTCTGACACTGAGGGGGAACTGACTAACTGTCACTGACATCCCCAGTGACACTAATAGTGATCAGTGCTAATAAAAAGCACTGACACTATACTAATGACACTGGGCAGGAAGGGGTTAACATCTGGGGCGATCAAAGGGTTAATTGTGTGCTGTGTAGTGTGTTTTACTGTTTAAGCACATTCCTTTGTATTCATTTTTGTTACGACAAGGAAAAAAATACTGCAAGTAAGTATTGGAAGTGTATTTGAACTTTTTTAGTCAAATTTGTGAAATTCTTATTCTATGTTTTTACGTGTTCCCATTTATACAGCATACAAAATTGTTTTAAATATTTCTTCCCTTTTATGCCCATGGCACATTGCAAACATTTTTGCGGATTGTCACAGTGTCTCTGTCCCCACACAGACTGGGGACACACTGAACTATCATTATTTAACATATAATGCAGGAGACCAGCGTCTAAGTCTTTAACCCTTTGTTAGGGCAGACATTGTTCAAATCTAGGTTACTGATAATGAAAATCTGTCAGCACAGTATAGACAGGGTTAAATATGGTACACATTAACTCAACATCCACAGGAAAATTCCACAGGAAAATTCACTTTAGGAGTAAAATGTATGAGCAAGTAAAAAGCTAAGCAGCAATTTCTAAATATTTTATGCTATGTCAATAAGAACCTGTAACAAATATAAAGTATTTGTTATCTCAATTCGGTTGCAAATGTGGAAATACAATTTAAATATTCAGTCCTTCTGGGCTTTTGCTTGCAATTTTTCAAGTTGGTGAAAGAGTCCCTTACTCTGTGGTTTATTTAAAAGTTACTTGAGCAACTTCGTTTTTAAATGTGGTTTAATTTGTATTCTCTTAAAACAAAGACGGCTTGATACTGTAGGTTCGGTATGTGTTTATTCAGATATACTAATGAAAAATATTTAGTATTAAGCATGGATTTTGAGGAGAATATAGATTACATGTTTGCAGTCTGTCCCTTTTGCCACTGTATACAAAACATTAAGCTTTCATTCCATTTTCTATCTATTGTAGTACATTATCTCAATCCTCTCTTACTAACCAGCTTAAATTTTTCTTGCTTTCCATTTTAAGAAACACCACCGCAAAGAGCTATGTTTTTACATTAACATACAGAGGGAAGCCTGGCTGCTTTATGGACAAACACATTAGTATGTGGCGTTGATGTGACCTGTACCAGTGGCTGATATTGTATCACACATTTCCAGTGATTGAGGGCCAGGGGAACAGGTCACATTCGTAAATTCTTTAACACCTACAGGCTACAAATTTTTTTTTTTGTCTTGTAGGTTGATCACTTTAGAGTTCATCCGTTTCACCACCAACAGGCAACACATTAAGTTCAATGTTGTAGTTTGTGGTGTCACCAGATCCCAACCATCCGATTGGTGTCCTGTTGAAGGACGGTCTGTCGGTGACATTCGGGTTGAAGACAGTCACAGGCTCAGGTTCAGGTCCAGCATCAAATTCAGGCATCTGAAAGGTCATCAGTTTTGATGCTTTTTCATACCCTCCAAAAGGCATTGCTGTCCTACAGGCAGACGATAATATAAGCCCAGTTAGACTAAAACATTTTATTAATTTCACAAATATACTTAAACATTTTTAAAGAGGTATTACTGCTTTTATTATATACAAAATGACTTAAAATGTATGGCTAATTAAAACCAGTCACTTTTGTTGGATGTCATGACCTGCAGCTTTGATCACCTTTTGCCTTCTTATGACGAGAAGTGATCCCATGATGAGAGCGGTATGGACTCATAGGGGTTTATTTACTAAAGCTGGAGAGTGCAAAATCAGACTCACTTCTGCATAGTAACCAATCAGCTTCCAGGTTTCATTGCCAAAGCTTCATTGAACAAGCTGAGGTTAGAAGCTGATTGGTTTCTATGCAGAAGGGAGTCTGATTTTGGACTCTCCAGCTTTAGTAAATAAACCCCATAAAGTCTATTGGAATGCTTACTGCCCTTTTGTATGGACATTGCAGCAGGGAATATGCAACCGCACTACATGGCATGTGGTCTAAATAGGACCACTACAGGGAGGTGGAGTCAAGACTTATTGTGTAGCCTCCCCTGATAGTTTGCCCAAAAGTTATATAGTGAAAAAAGCTCATGAAATGAATTGCAGATCTGAGAATAATGAGTGCTGAGGTCCACTTTCCTGCACATAAATTCAGAGAAAGCATTGTCAACAAAAGACACAGAAAATAACTGAATGTTTCAAATCAATTTTGGGTAAACAACAAGTATAAAAGGATACAAATAAAACGTATTCCAATAATCACTTTTCTTAAGGATAATAAATTCACTACAGTTAATCCTTCCTCACAGTTAATGTCCTCCGTACCCCATATTGATTCAGGTGTGTTACTCTGCATTCATTCCAGTTCCAGGAAACCATTTAATGACCTGTGCCCAAATGTAATTGCATATTCAAGATAATGACATGAAAGAATTCTAGCTTTAGAAGGTATGCATTGTATGCTGTCTACAAATTACAAATGATCCTGTAGTCATGTAGAAAAATGTATGAATACTCTCCATCTAAAGTGCAGCATATGACAGACTTAAATGGATGTATAGGCCAAACATTTTTAGTGTTGGATAGAGCAGAGAAGGGTTATACCCATGGCAGTTTATTTTTTGCTCTTTCTTGTTGGGAAGATTTCCCTTCTTGTCCTAAAGATGCAACAGGAAATAAGAGAAAATCTCTCAAAAAGTTAGGGGCATTCCCCTCTTACACTTCTGTCACTAGAACATGTGTCCTCATTGGGCCAAATAACCTCACAGCTGTTGGGAACTGTAAAACTTTGAATCTCCCATCACTTTCTGTCACAGTCAAAATAGTCATTAGGACAAATGGAGACCGTGAATCAACCCAGCATGGACACACCGATATAAACTTGACAAAGGCTCTAATTTTTCCCTAAAGGTTTCGGCTATACATGCGCTTTAAATTGAATGATACAATTAAGGAATCGCAAAATGTCTAATACAAAATGTATAATACAAAATGTCTAACCAGCAACCTGTGATACATTGTTTCGTAATAAACACATGCCATCTAATATGTATGCTTTGTAATGGCTTGGATTGGTAAAATTAAGACTGTTGTTCTTACCTATTAAATGATTTGTATTTGCAAAGATCAGCCTTGCTACCATATTCCAACAAGTTGACATTAAGTTTAGTTGCCTGTTGTGGGTCAATTCCCATGGCTTTGTCCCATGGAGAAAGGTAGGTCTTAAATATAGTGATCTGTTTTCCACCTTCACTTCCTGGCTGTCCTGACTGACCATCTGAAATGATACAATGGGTAAACCATGAAATAAAGTATTTTTGTCAAAGAGGGGCAAAAGGCAAACAGAGAAATATAAATTTCTTCCAGAAAAGCAAAAACTACAGAAAAGGGAGTAGCAGAATAAAAGGAAGCAAAATTAATGAACAAGGCATAAAAGTAGTACAATAGGACCGGCATAGGGGCAGTGTTCTGTTGGATACCATTAAAATAATACATTTGTATATGCTGCTTCTGGTTGCTGTACAGTAACAATTTACATCTGTTGGAGTGTAAATAAAGCTCTAGCAAGCAGAATTAGGTAGTGGAAAATGCCATAGATAAGCCTTATTCATCCTTTCTGGGGTTGGATATTTGCAGATTTTTAAATTTTAATCACACTCAAAGTTTACTAGTAAATTAGTCCCACGAAACCCTTGTTAGTCCTCTTCTGTATTCCTGTGCTCACACAACTTTTATGTAGTAGCAGGAGCAACAGTCCTCTTGATTTTCCACCTTGCAATCAGAAAGTGAGAAAACCAATACAGATCTACTTTTTAAAAATTATCTAACCAGCTTCAAAGCATTATGTATACATACATATTTTGCCATAAATTCTGCCCCACAGTCCACTATGTGCAGAAATGATCTAGGAAGGCATCTAATCACTCAGAGTAGGAGAGCATTAAATCACCTGGTGGATTAGGGAAGATTTGTAAATATACAAAAATTTGCATAGTTCAAGTGGAATATCAGTTTTGACATCATGATTTGCTTTTCTCTACTAGCAAGATTTTGCTAGATAAGGAGAATAAAATTATGAAGGATGGAGAAGGACATCCCTTGCCCTGTCCCATCGCCCTCCCACAGTCCTGGGACACATCACATGTCCCAGGAGGCTGCAGGACCATTCACAATGCTCTGCACAAGCTTGCACATGTGCAGTGGGAAGCTGGCTCCTGTATCCAAGAAGAAAGGGCCATGGAAAGACAGTGCTGGACCTCAGGCACTGGAAAGTACCTGATTTTAATTGTCAACTACAGTATTTGTAGCTGCTTATTTTTTTTATTAAGCTGAAGTTCCTTTTTAAAGTGTACGTAAACCCTCAAAATTAACTTCTCTTATTTGCTCTCTTTTGGTCTGCTAACTATACCAGTGAAACATTTTTTTTATCTTGTTGATATGTGCACAAAAATACCTGCTGATTCTGTCAGAAATCTTGTAAACTGATAACTTTCCGTGCATGATGAGGGGTTATGAAGATGAGGAGGAGGGAAAAAAATGAGAAAAGGGATGTGATCTTTGTAATCCATAAAAATCTAACTAGCATGGCTGACATTACGTGGTTAGGATGTCAGATCTCAAAAGGTAGAAGCACAATACATTTATATAGTTATACATAGTTATTCTGTACTTGCAATATGTTTTTAAGGGACAGATTTTCCAAATTGTTTGTTTTTACAAATGTACAAAATATGTTTTTCTTTCTCTTGACATATGCTTTAACATGCAAAGTCAGAAATCAGAAAGTTTGCCTTTTACTCATAGTTAGCAGGTTATAACTTGGAAGCAGTCTCTAGCAGGTTCTTGTAATTTAGAAGCAGTCATTAAAGAAGAACTGTAGGAATTAACTTTCTATTTAGATTTGCTGTCTTACAATGGGTTACGTCCAACGAGGTGTATGCCACTTCTCTCTTTTATTTACAACTGACAGTTTTGCTGAGCTCCAGGAGTACAGTTATAGCAACACTCCTGGTGCTCCGACAATGAACCTTTCAGCAACTCTGTAACATGGAATTAGTCTCTATAATGACAGCCTCTTGTAGCATGCTTGCCCCTCTAACATGTCAGTTTCTTACAGCATGAGGTAGTTTCTTATACCCTAACGGTGATAAGAGCTTCTCTTGGGTAAGGCTGGAGTTACAAACTCTGTGAGTTGGGTTCTCAATACAAGAAGGGGAGATATGATCAACATGTATAAATACATCAGTGGTTCATATAGTGAACTCGGTGTAGCGCTATTCACCCTGAGCTCATCACAGAGGACAAGAGGGCACTCTTTATGTCTGGAGGAAAAGAAATGTAATGTCCAAACACGGAAAGGTTTCTTCACAGCTGTGAAAATGTGGACAAGACTCCCTCAAGAGTTGGTTCTGGCCACCTCAGTGGATTGCTTCAAATAAAGCCTAGATTCTTTCCTAGATACACAGAATATAACTGGATACTAACATTGATAGGTAAAGTTGATCAAGGGAATATCCGATTGCCTCTCGCGGGATCAGGAAGGGATTTTTTTCCCTGCAGGAGCAAATTGGATTGTGCTTTGCTGGGTTTTTTTTGCCTTCCTCTCAATCAACTGTGGGTGTAGGATTATAACTTTTTTTTTCTATGGTTGAACTGGATGGACGTTTGTCTTTTTTCAGCCAGACTAACCATATAACTATGTAACTATGTAACCATGAAAGCAAGGTTACAAGTAATGTTGAAAAGTTGAGTTTTCTGGGTGTAATTAAGATACAAGGGCTAAGGAAACTAGCTTTATCTCATCTAGTAAAATTTGAACAGCTGAAACTAAAATCTTATTAGTTTTGTTTACTGTACAGTAGCAGATTAAAATTCCACTATAGATCACACAGTGTGTTTTATCTTTGGAACAATTAGGAAACTTCCATTAGCAACCTGAAGCATAAAATATTATAAGTTGGATTTTAAAGGTAAAATTTTATTACATTCCCTGTGTGTTCCAAGCCTGTCCTTATAAAAATGTGCCAAGGGTAATTCCTAGCAGCTACATGACCAAATTCATAATTACTTTTTCTGCTAAAAGAAATGATTGGCAAATGCTAGGTTAAAATCCCATTTCACTAATCAATTAGAATATTATACTGCAGAGGAAAATAGAGACTTGCATTGTGTATGCCAAAATTCCAACTGGGATCGTGTTGCTTTGGGTCCATCACCCAGCTTAATTGCTACGCTTGACTGATACGATGATGAGAGATTAATTAATTCGATTAGGTCATGTTTTAAAACTTTGCTGCTCTTATCTATGATGGCCAAAGTTATAAAGTATCCAAAATGGAAATAGACTGGTTGTGGAAAATAATCTGAACCTGCACATTTTAAAGTGTTCTTTTCATTTGTTTACTGTATTTCTATTGAAACATACAAACATGCATGGGATGATTTTGAGTTATTATAGTTTCAAAATAGTCCATGGATGGGCATATTAAAACAGAGAATAGTATTCCATGAAAAATTAAGTCTTTCAAAAGTGAAGTCATTTCACATAATTGATCAGGATGAGATGCTATTACAAAAATGATGTGATCCCTAGTAGAACACAAATAAATAATGCTGACCATGGCCTACATGCCTGTGCTTTATCCGTGCGATGGTACAACAGGTTCACTTTCATGTGGGCCCTTACAGCACCGTACTCACCTTTTTCCACCACCACCCAGTTCACCACTGTGGGTTAAATACCCCGTACGTTAGGGTATATGGGAACATTTTACTTGCTTCGCAATTGGCTGCTAATTCACCATTGCCATCACATAGAAGTGGATAAAGAATCCTTTGCCTTGTATATGCTGCAACTGGGATTGAACAGCAGGAAAGGTACATAAAAGGTGCTGTGGGGTTAGCTTTAACGTGAACCCACATAGACAAAGTGCAGTTTTTTTTAACATTACAACATTAAGGTCTCTGCTCAATGGCCAAGTCTCCAAACATGCTGCCAAGATGGCATCTATTGTTATGATACCATCTGCAGGTTTTGTAATATTTGCATTTGATCTAACTAGCTGTATGAATCACATATACTACATGCCTGCAAACCATTGCAACATAGCAGAAACCTATGATTAGCCTTTTGGACTTCAGCGTGCATTTTCAGCATTATAATGTGAATCACAGAATAGCTCCTATGTCAGAAAAAAGAATATGCATAATTAATATTTGCTGGTAATGCTATAGATCCAAACATCAATAGAGAGATAACTGGGTACGTGAGTAAAAACTTTACTATTATTTGCAAATATTTGTATTTATTATTTGATTGTGCATTTTTACTTAGGTAGTGTGGGAATATTGCAGCATAAACAGACCCTGGATTTTCATGCAGGGTCTGCTTTATGTTGTGCCCTGCTTCACTGCCGATATGATTATAGTATGCTATAACGCTATATATGCCACACAATGTTTTTATTTTTATGTTTGTGAATACTATAATACCTGGAGTATGCATGCTGGGACATTCTGACAGCTGAGGCTTCAGCACTTCCTGAAGTTTGCCTAATCCTTCCTGCCCCATGCAAGACAATTGGGCAGGGAGGCAGTCCATTATGAATGTAAGGGGTGGGAGGTAGCCTCATTTCCTGGGGGTTTTGACGTTTTGACTGCTAGAACATTCCAATATCTGTCTGTAACAGCATACTTTTGAAAACTAAGTATGTACATGTATTTCTAACATAGGGGGATATTTACTAAAACTGGAGCAGTTGTGCATTATAGCCAATCAACTTCTAAATTCAGCTTATTCAATTAAGCTTTGACAATAAAACTTAGAAGGTGATTGGTTTCTATGTAGATCTGCACCAGATTTTGTACGCTCCAGGTTTAGTAAATGCCCCCCAAGGTCTCCTTAGGTTTTCTTTAGCGCTCCAACCTCTGTATGTTATGTTTAAGTCATCTCAACTTATTGTTCACAATTTACAAATTCAGTAAAATGCTTTTCCAGTGCAACTGATGCATTCTGGTCCCTCCTATCAAAAGTCAAACAATTATTCCAGCTGTGTAGTATACAATGTATAGGTAGCATTGGCAAGTTGAAATTTCTTTATTTTTTTTTTTGCAGTACATGCAAGTAACCTGCATTTCAGGAGCGTTTTAGATTTTTAGGAGTTGGAAGTTTAATGTTATATTAAATAATCTATATTCTTGGGTCAGGTGTTAGTTTTACCTGTGTATAGTTTTCAGTGCGTATTAGAGATATTATCACAAAATTACCTTTGCCTCCAGAACCATCAACACTTCCGATGCCACCTTGTCCACCAGGGCTACCAGTGCCTTGCTGACCTCCTGCACCACCTTTACTTCCTGGCTTTGGTGGAGGAACTGGTGGGTGCTGACCTCCAGCTCCATGTTGCCCTCCAGATAGACTAGATACCAGATGAACACTGCCTTGTATTAATCCATAGCCACCTCCACCAACACCTGTTTGTCCACCGACCCCTAGCTGTCCTCCAACAGATGGTATAAACTTCTGGAAGTGGTCCTGCAGAAGATACCAGAGTTAATCACAGACTGTTTACTCATAAAACCAAGTACCTATTTGTCATAGATCTATTTTCATACCATCACTCACAGTGGTGTTAAATTAATCGACTGTCAGCATGTAACCTTTAATTGAACTTTATTAAAATCATTTGGGTTTATATAACCCTAATCATTTAAAAACACAATTATGGAAAGCGCTGTTGAAAATGAAATGGTAGGTATTGAATGCACACTTGCATTATTTATTCATATATATTATTCATTTGCTTCATCATTAACAAATTATTTCATTTGGATGGGGGAAAAAATAACATACCTTGTATAACTGTAAGCTGCTTAAAGTGTATAATCAGTTAACAGGATCTGATTAAAAGCTGGTAGGTGAAAGAATGAACATTGTTGCCACTGTACCTACTAAGGGTGGTGGTAGCAATGATCGCTAAAGTGATGGCATTAGTTCCAAAGTGGTTTTCATAAGAGCCCAGCGGACAGAAGTATTCCCTATACAAGTTGGGTCCAACGGTCAGGGTGAAGTAGAAAAAGGGTATCTCTCCATTCACCAGTTCTGTCATCACTTTAGCGTTCACTGCTGCCACTCATTCCTGCCTCCTTCCCAATAGCACAGGTACAGTATATCAATAGTCAACCTGCTGTGAAAGCCCCTTAAGTCCATCCAGTTCAACCATAGAAAAAAAAAGTTATAATCCTACACCCACAGTTGATCCAGAGGAAGGAAAAAAACCCCCAGCAAAGCATGATCCAATTTGCTCCTGCTGGGAAACAAATTCCTGCCTGATCCCCCGAGAGGCAATCGGATATTCCCTGGATCAACTTTACCTATAAATGTTAGTATCCAGTTATATTCTGTGTATCTAGGAAAGAATCCAGGCCTTTTTTGAGCTGGCCAGAACCAACTCTTGAGGGAGTCTATTCCACATTTTCACAGCTTTCACTGTGAAGAAACCTTTCCGTGTTTGGAGATTAAATTGCTTTTCCTCCAGATGTAAAGGGTGCCCCCTTGTCCTTTGTGATGACATTAGGGTCAGTAACTCTACACTGAGTTCACTATATGATCCACTGATGTATTTATACATGTTGATCATATCCCCCCTTAATATCCTCTTCTCAAGAGAGAATAAATTCAGTTCCTCTAATCTTTCCTCATAGCTGAGCTCCTCCATGCCTCGTATCAGTTTAGTTGCCATTCTCTGTACTTTCTTCAGTTCCCCAATGTTCTTTTGTGAATTGGTGCCCAAAACTGAACTGCATATTCCAGATGAGGTATTACTAATGATTTGTACAGGGTAAAATGATATATCTCTCTCTCTGGAGTCTATACCTCTTTTAATACAAGAGACTCAAGTCTGTTTACACCCTCCAGTCCAGGGTGAATGGAAGGCCCGCTCAGGTCTGCCTGAAAAAACTGTCAGGCAAAACTGATCAGACCCATTGTGTGAAAATGGCCTAAATACTTCTGTGATATAGATTCCTTCACTGTTTGTGTGCACTATGCAACCACTGAATACATTCTGACATACTGTTTACATCTGCTCCCAAACCAGTGCAAAACTGTTTCTATTCTCTTTTCATTTATCCCTACTGGTGAGTGCTGTTCTTTGTACCCACATCTGTTTATGTTTTTTTTTGGAGTACCCCAATTCTTTGCAGCTGCAACACTTTCAGTTCACTTGGATGCTACTGTTTACTCTAAGCTCCAAGAGAATTTCTCATATTGGAATATTGGAACAATGTTTACTATTTGCTGTGATCTGTGAACTATAAGGCTACATTCAAGGACGATGGGAGGTGGAAGTTTGTTGTATTCAGAGGAGGTTAAACGCCTCCTCTGGATGCAGCTGTCCTCTGTGCTATGGCTGTATACAAACTGGCCAGTTAGCTGTGGTCAGGTTTTTGTGCTCAGAAATTCCACAGAAACGCCATCCATGGACACACACTGTATGTGTCCAGGGTTGGCCAGAGACTCAAATTGCATGTACTGCTCAGATGAGCGGTTACATATGAACAACAGCAGTGGCAGCCATTGATGTGTCTGTACACATCTGACAGCCATTTCTGACAGCTGCTGCTGTTTGCACACACACTGGAGATTTAGTAAAACTGGAGCACTCAAAAATCTGGTGCAGCTGTGCATGGTAGCCAATCCACTTCTAACTTCAGCTTGTTCAATTGAGCTTGACAATAAAACCTGGAAGCTGATTGGTTCCTGTGCAGAGCTGCACCAGATTTTTTGTGCTCCAATTTTAGTAGATCTCACCCACTGTGCACCGTGCATGCAGCATTTAGATCCACTTGCAAGAATCTACTGGTTCTTGCCCCTGGCCTCCTATGTGCGCCTGTGTGAATGTAGCCAAACTGTGTATTATAACCACATTACAGTTTAGAATTTATGTTAAACTGTTGTATTATGAAGGGAGAAAGTCATACATTATATACAGTAGCTGGACGTAGACTATTATATTTTTTATTCCAAATACCAAAGACACGCATGGGCAAATCCCCCTTTCCAGGCTATTGTATTCTGAAAATTCACACAACAGCTAATTAATTTGCACAGAATGAATGTACAGTTTTAAGTTACTGGCTTGGTTATTTCCAGTATTGGAGTTTCAGATCCAATTTCAGCAGATAAGATTTCAGCGTACAAAACTTTAACTACTGTACATGTATTGCACACATTTGAAAAATTAATGAATCACCAGAAATACTCAACATAATCTGCCCCTTATGCAAATGATGGAGCATAACAAGATTCTAAGGCTGGCCATGTCCTATACTATCTGATTCTACAATCTCCTTTAGATTTACTATTAAAGAGGTTGTAAAGACTGAAGGTTTTTTTTCCTTCATGCTTTCTATGCACAAACTTTCTGTGTGTAGCATTCCCAACCCCCCTAATACTTACGTGAGCCGCAATGTGCACAAGAGCCTTGGCTCTCAGGAGACTCTCCCTCCTCATTTGCTAAGACAGCAGCAGGAGCTGTTGTCAATCACAGCAAGTGAGCCAATGAAGAGAGAGAGGGGGTGGGGCTGAGACGTGACTTTTTGTGTGAATGGACGTGCAGAGCAGCAGTTCAGGAGTGAGCCTACTTGGGTGCCCCCAGAGCAAGCTGCTTGCTCTGGGGGCACTTGGCAGGAGGGAGGGTCAGGAGCGTCATCGGGGAACCCGAGAAGAGGAAGATCCAGGCTGCTCTGTGCAAAACCATTGCACAGAGCAGGTAGGTATAACGTGTTTGTTATTTTAAAAAAAATATTTTTAACTTTAATATCACTTTACCAACTGTATGTAGTACAAGGACTGGCATGGTCTGATTTGTGATTTGACTAGCTGAATGGATTTCTTAGGTTTCTCCTCATAGTACATAGTTTTTGTAAGTTAAAAGAGATTGTACTGAGATTGTGCAATTAGAATGTATAGGGTATGACCAGATTAAGAGGGAGATTTAAGCCTTTGACTCCTGCGCTCTTAAGTCAAAAGAGCTGAAGCCAAGGGGTTACAGAGAATGCCAGGCCCTGCAGTTTGCCTGCACAGGCAGCTGGAAGACCTGGAAAAGCTACCAGACATGGGATCAGTGATTATGGCATTCACTAAATATTCACAAGTGTAGCTTACTGATGCATGTGTTTTAAATTACAGTGGTTGATTCACCCGCAGCAAATGTTTGGTAAATGTCACATTCACTGCTTTATAAATACATTTTGGAAATATTATCACAGCAATGTTAATAGTAAAAAATCTTATCACATCAAAAATGCAGTTCCTTAAAGGAATTTGCAACTATTTCAATAGACCAAATCATTAGTGTTAAAAAGCCTGTTACAAAAATAAATGATTCACAAATATAATTGAAATTTGCATGTTCTAAGAACTGTGAGGCACTTTTAAATTTGGTTATAGCACAATCATATTGTGACATTAATAATAGGGTAAAGGCTAAGTTCAGGAAGTATATTATACCATAATTATAATATATATAACATTAGCGGGTCTGGGAATGTTTTAGAAAAAGAAGATATACACTTTTATTCTGCTGTGAGAATGAATGTTTATCACCCACTGATATGCTGGAATAATTAATTTGATTTGTAGCTGGTGAATGTTTTCATGATTGCATGGAAGTGCCATCTTTATGTCCATAGTACATATACCATGCCAGCATTTACCACTATACCTTGTCCCGCATGCATTCTTGCATCTCATAAAGAATACAACAGATTGTCCAAGAAAATTGCACCCAGCAGATCTACTAAACTTCATTTGGGTTCCTTAGATTGCCAAAGTATATAAGAGTTGGACAGGCCAAAGTTTTTGTTTTGGATAAAGTAGGCAAGGATTAAACCTTGGGAGAGCTATTCCCAGTTTAATGGGAAGATGCTGTGATTAGACCTTTTATTATTTTAAGGTCCACCTTGGAAGGTGAGAATGTGTCCACTGGGGGTGGTGATGGTTACACTGAAATATATATTCATGGCATAAAACCTTTATCAAATAAATGCTGTTTTGCTGCTTTGCCAACTGGAGGAAATTTCCCTTCATTTTGTGTCTTGGATGCACATCAGGAAATCTACCCAAAATGAAGGAAATGATTGTCCCATTAGATGACTTACTCTTAGCTCTTGTTCTGGTGACAGTTCCACAATTTTGGTTTCCCTGTCAGGTAGGGCCCATTTGTAGCTTTGTATTGCAGTAACATTTGCATTTTGAATGGCACCCTAACGCACTAAATCAGGGAACATACAAAAAGAAGTTTGGCTGGTTTAGCAGGGTCCGGCTGCATTTTGATCTGTGTGTAGCCCTCCCTGTTCAACAGAAGTCAATTGTTAGATTGACATCTGTTGAACAGACACTCTGAAAAACCTTTGATTAACGCATTGCAGCCAATTGGATGCAACACTGACAATGGAGAGTCCTCGCTGAAGAAATACAATGGGAGAAATCCTGCAGCTACCTTGCCTGTGTGGATGCAGGAATCTGTTATT